CTAAGACAAATCAGTTTTACTGTTTTTCAGAAAAACACTCTTCTGTTTATCTGAAAAAATCTGCATTATTTCAAAGAAAGAAAAACTATTTAACAGCTTTTTGCTTTCTTTAAATGTAGACAATTTTTTGTTTCTTGAATCTTTTACATAAAGCAGTAGCTGTCTGTCATGTAAATCTTTAAACAAATTTATGTCAGACAAGTACGAAATATATTTGCAAATTTCATTTATTCTCATAGTTCTCTAACACTTTTTAAACAGTAATTGGTTAAAGGTAATCAGCATGTCATTCAGATATTTACTAAATCCTGCTGAAATCTACTGGAATTATTAATCCTATCTACTTTCAGAAGGATATTGTCATCACTTAAGACATTTTGCCATTTTAGTGTAACTCACTGAAGATTTGGATATAAACCTTAACATAATTATTCAGTATCCCTTTAAAGTTTAACATGTGTGAAAACCATTACAATTAAACTTATCAGATACAAATGATAATCTTTAAGTGTAAAGTACATAATTTAAAGCCGCTTTCAAAAACTTTTCTAAGTGTAAAACAAATTTACATAAATGTCTGAGATAATGCATTAAACTGAACAACTTAAACCTCTATATTAAAAGAGTAAAATTACTGTGGAAAGAAACCATTTGATAAAATATTAGTAAGAGGTTGAATATCATAATTGAATTTAAACTAAAATTTAAAAGATTTTGTGGAACAAGGTTGAATTATAAAGTAGCATGCAGAATAAAATACACTGAAGAACTATGAAATTTCTAACATTATAGCATAATAGATAGGATTTTATATTAATTCAAGAATTTTATAATCAATGTAACTTCTTAAAACATTGTTTTAACTTTTTAAAAAGAATTGTATGTTCTCAGTAATAAAAGATCTATATTCTTGGAGGTCTATCCAATTTTTAAAAGATTAAAGATTTTGAATGATTAAAAGAATCTAGAAATTCACCTGTTGTTAAAAAAAAAAGCCAGGGAATAAACTATATTCTAGAAACAAATACTTTTCTCAATCTTTTAGCTTTAAATATATTTAAGGCTAAACAACACAGTCTAATTTAACTTCATTAAACTTTTACATAAATGGAGAACATTCATAAAAAGCAAGAAAATAAAATTCAGATTGTATTTTTCAGAATAATTCATTTTTAACAATGAATTTATCATTTCAGTATATCACATAAAACTATAATAAAATACTAGTTCTGTAAATCTATTTTATATAATTTATATTATGAAAGGTAGATAAACTTTATTTGTTCTTCTGGGAAATACAATTTAATGTGAATTGTAGAAAAATCAAGATTCATGCTCAAAACTCAGCATTAAGGTTAATGCCAATGTTGAAAATTTCTATTCATGGTCCACAAATGCCATAGTGTTTCATGTATTTAGGGTAAGAGTGGAAGATTACATGTCTATTTCCTATTTATTCTCCTACATATATTTATGAACGTAGTGACTTTACTTGGTAATTCAAAATTGCTTATGTACTACAAACCCCAGTCACTCAAGTGACATTCTTAAACCTGTGGTGTGCATCAGTTATTTGAAAGTTTGTTTTTCTTAAAGTTCTTTTTATTGTATTAGAAATATTAGAACATATAGCAAAAATAGGTAAATCTTCAGCAAGAGTTTATATAGCATCTTCATAAAAATAAATTAATCCCTTCCCAAATGAATTAATATATTCTTTAAAAATAATTGCAATTATTTTTTTTAAAAAGAGATAACTGGAAAATTTGGTGTGCAAAGGTATTAAGCCACAGGATTGTTCACAGTCAATACATTTATTGGATACACCCAAGGAAGTGACAAGACATGTATGATCACAAGGTTATATATAATCTTTCAGTTGCTCACATAAAAGACACACTAAAACAGATTTCAGGTACACAAAATAAACACTGATAACTTTAATCTCAACATTCAGTTCACCCTTTTGGGTAGAATACTTATCTGAATTCACTTTATAATCCATACCGTGTAAAAGCAAGTATTTTAGATATGTGTTCATGACAAAGCTGAGAGCTGTTACAATATTTTTCAGGTATATTGCTATAAGCTTTTAAAACATGTATGGTGAATTCTATATCACAAAGATTACTATTGTTCACTTAAAAGACAGGCACTGGTACTTCAAATTATTAGGTGACTATCAACCACAGATTCTAAAAATGTGACCTGCTTTCACTTTATACTGTATTTCAATGAAAACAACAGAGATATCATAAGCATATGTAAAAATTTCACACAGATTGGGTCCCCTATTTGCTCTAGCCATATATTTTGACCAGGTTTGAATATCATAAAAAGACATACTTTTACTTCATTTCAACTGATACCCTCTCAATATTGTCTAATTATCAGCTCCCTCATGCCTTTGATTGAATGTATGTTAATTCAAAGGAAACTTTGTTATTCTAAGAAATTATAATGTTATAACTTGCAGAAACTATTTCAGTTTCTACACGTAACATTACAAAATCAATTTCCAAAGCACAATTTAATTTAAATTCAGCCACTGTACAATACAGCCTTATGGCATCACAGCATGTAAATACTTACATCCAATCAAGAGCTATAGAAATAACACTGGAAGTAGTGCAATTCTGTCAGCTTAATGGGTCATAGTCTCCGTTCTGAGTTTGATTTATGGCTTTACATTTTAGCAAATACAGGACAACTGCTTTGCTTTAGCTAGAGCTCTGACATAGGTGAGGATAGCTAAAAGAGGAGCTGTCTCTTTAAGATACCCTGCTCTGTCTCTGATCCCACGTGGAAACCAACATCAGCAGCACTTTAACATCAACTTTAATATGATGCAAAGAATACATCGTTCTTATCTGGAGAAAATTATAGATTGCATGCTTTGTAAAATACAAACCAAGTGAATTAAGTATGCTAGACTTAAGTCACTGATTCTTTCCCAGAACCTCACTGCATGTATTTTCTGCCAGTTCACTCTAAGGCACGCTGCTGTAACTCTGTATTGTACAAACAGAATGCACTTTACAAAGAGGAACCCCAAACACTTGAGATCCATAATCAGCCTAAAGATATTCCATAGACAGGCCAGGTTTACTTTTTTACACTGCATTACATCTTAACTGGGGAAGGCAATCTCGAGGTAATTCATTTCGCGCCACCTTCCCTTTCTTCCATCTGTGCTTCTACCACCACCACCCAGACAAAGAAAAGGAAGGTACAAAGTTTGGCAAATGTAGCAGTTACCTTCTTCACAATCAGCTCCACATTGCCCCAAAGCTGTGCAGCTCGTGCATTCCCACCTCCCGCCACCATTCAAGGAAGAAAGGGGTTTTTCACGTTCTCGCAGTGTCGGGAATGAGCTGTAAAAGGGCTTTTGCCTTTCTAAAGCGCTCATCAACAACAAAAATAGGCATCAATTTTAACTCCTTGCTCTCCGAGAGTATTAAAAACTCAACACGAAGGTGTGCGGGTTCAGAGTGATCTTTTAGGGGCCAATTCGGAAGCTCGGGCGCCTTGGGGATTTTTTTTAGGAATTTTCGAGCTATTTTTAATTTTGTTATATGCCTCAGTTCTCCCTCCATTTTGGTTGTTTATGATACTGACAACAAGCTGTCCCTGCTCTCTCTCCGGATCTCTCCTGCTTTCAGTTAACGAACCCCGCTCCCCAATGCTGCCCACCCTCAACCTTGCTCGCCTTCCTAAGCTTCTCTTCCAAACCCACACGAGAAAGGAAAAGAAAGCCTCCGCATCTGCCGAAGTCAAAAAGGAGGCAAATTCGTTTCTTTATGCTGCGGGGGGGGGGGGGAGCCAAAAAAAAAAAAAAAAACTTTTGTCCAATGAAAAGAGGGAGAAGGGCGCTGGATGTCCCAAAGTGACTCCAGATCCCCCTAAAGCTTCATCAGCGGGCACCCCGGGACTCCGTCAGGGAAGAGCAATCCCCTAGCAACGTTTCTGCGCAAAATGTGTCCGATTCGGCGACACCGCTGAATTTTCATTAATTTTCTCTCATTTTGGGGCACCGCGGACTCTAATGTCTTCCGCTCCTTCCTCGCTGCTGCTGCTGCTGCTGCTGCTACCGCTGCTGTCACTATATTCACAGCACAGACGCTGGAGCTCAGGGGAGGGAGGGGGTGGAGAAGACACACATACAGAGAAACGAAGTGTGTGTGTATGGGGGGGGGGACTTTTCTCCCAAGTTTCTGCAAAACTCCCCCACTTAACTAAAACAAGCGCGCGCGGGGTGGGCACTTCTTCACCGTTCCAAGAAACCCGGACCGAGGCAAAGGGGAAGGGAGGGGGGGAGAGAGAACGGGGAAGAAGTCCCAGCCAAGTCTGGAGAAAGCGAGGCTTACTTTTAGGGTGCCTTCCCGGGCTGGCCTCAGGGACCCCCCAAGAAGCCCAGAAGGGCTAAAAAGAGAGATGGAGCCGCGCAAACCTTCCCCATCTCTGCTCCGGCTGCTGTTGCTTCGCTCTTCGCGTCCCTCCTCCTCCTCCTCCTCCTCCTCCCCCTTCAGAATTTAAATAACCCTAATATTTCCCTGCTGAACCCCGGCTGCAGAACCCCCAACCCACAGCAGACTCACCCCGGGAGCCTCAGCATCCCCACAGCGCCCGCTTCCCGCCTTTTACAGGGTTCTCCGATTTTTCTGTAATTTTTTCCCCATATTTCGGGCTGGACGCGGCGGGCCTGGAAATTGTTTGCTTTCCCCTCTTTCCAGCAGCCATTGTAGTGTATGCGCTGCGGTGCAGCTCAGCCTGCCGCACACGCCGCGCCCACACCGCCAGCCGCCCACACGCGCCGCGGGTTGGACACCTCCCCCTGTCACTCAGCCGCCTAGCCTCGCCCAGTCGGTGGCGCCTTTCGCGCTCACAGCTTGCCCTGTTGGTGGGAGGAAACGCCGCTCGGGATAGGCCGGGGAGGAACCGAGCAAAGATTGGCCAGTCTGCGGCGGCTTGGCGCTGTCTTTCAAAGAGCTTCGGCCGCATCCATTGGGTCAAGGAGCTGTCATTTTCCGCCGGGCTGCGGGGCCAGAAATGGGGTAGGCTGCGCCAGTTATAAGGTCGTTGCCCAAGCCGCTGACGTCTTTCGAATCCGAGACGAGCCGTCGGGTTGAGTTCCCTCGTGGTGACTGAGGTGAGTTATCCGCTGTGGAGCGGCGTCGTGAGAACGCGGTGTATCACCTGTGCTGCGTGGGGCGCCTTCGCCCGCTTAGATATTCCTCGCTAGACCTGCCTTCCTCTCGGAGCGTCGCGGCGTCCGAGACAGACGCTGCCTCCGGCTCTGAAGAGACCGAAGAATGCGGGGAAAAGAGCTTTGAGGGAAAGGTGACCGAAGCGGGCCTCGCCCTTCCCCCCCTCCCCCGGTCTGTTTCAGGTGCTGAAGGCTTTTTCTCTTGTCGCGGTGATCCCGACTCTCTCAGATTAGCTTTTCTTTCGTGGGTAGTCCACAAACGGGCCGGAGTGACTTTACGGGGTCATTATCGCCATTCACCATGATGCTCCAGGTTCCTGTCGGCTAAATTACACGGGAAGGCCTTGGGAGCAGTTCAGTCGACCGAGGCTCAATCTTCCTTCTAAATTTGTTCCCTGATTTGGGGTTAGGAATTAGCCATTCTGCACCCACCCCTTTTCCTTCCTCGGTTTCTGTGGAGAATGGCGGTGTGCTCCATTGAATTGTACGAAAAGTTGGATTTGAAGCTCAGAGACAGCTGTTTCCTTTGTGTTTATAGACTTCCCGAAAGCTTTTCATTGGAAAATATACATTTCCAATTTACTACATTTATGTTCCGCCCATTTCACTATCCAAGCAACTTCGGGAGGCTGACAATATAATAAAAGCAAAGATGTAAAAGATATTAGAAACTATTAATAATTAACAGGGATGAATAAAACTAGGAACCAGTTTCTTCCATAAACTGCTATCATAGAAGAATGCATAGGAATGTATACAACGATGGGAAGGTTTTTTATACATATTTACTAGACAGTTTGAGCTTGTCAGGTAGAGATGGGTACCATTGATTTGTACTTCAACTAATCTTGAAAACATTAAACAAGTTTGAATCTGTAAGTATATATCTAGATGAGTGACTAATAGAAAATCCCAGGGCTGTAAATCTTAGAATAAGATCACTTCCATATACTGTTGTCTAGAAAATAACAAGGAAGTGTCTTCAAGGTTGAAGTAGACTCAAGGAATCTTTATTATATTCTTAAGAATATTTGCCTTTGTCAAGTCTAACCAGAAAGGTTAGTGCAGAAACATATATAGACATGGGAAAAAAGCATTTTTGGAAATTTATTTTCAGTGTTGGGGCCACTTTGTTAATTTGCCAAACTCTTCACTTTTGCAACAGTTTTTGTTGCAGGAGGAAAATGTTATTTGCTCTTACCATTTTTGGGTAATTCCCCATTGGGAATATAAGCATTTCTCCTATCTGCACAGAGATCTAATAGAATGGCCATCAATTTCACAGAGCTCAGTCTGCATATATTTCCACCAAGGAGGAAACATTTAATAAAGGATTCATTTCCTAATATAAGATGTAGGAATAGACTGTTAGAATACAAAGTGCTTTAGCCTGTTGTTGTTAGTTGCGAAGTCATGGTCCGACCCATCGCGACCCCATGGACAACGTTCCTCCAGGCCTTCCTGTTTTCTACTATGCTCTGGAGTCCATTTAAGATCACGCCTACTGCTTCGGTGACTCCATCCAGCCTCCTCATTCTCTGTCGTCCTCTTCTTCTTTTGCCCTCAATCTTCCCCAGCATTAGGCTCTTCTCCAGTGAGTCCTTCCTTTTCATTAGGTGGCCAAAATATTTGAGTTTCATCTTCAGGATCTGGCCTTCTAAAAAGCAGTCAAGGTTGATGTCCTCTAGAACTGACCGGTTTGATCGCCTTGCAGTCCAAGGGACTCGCAGGAGTCTTCCCCAGCACCATAGTTCAAATGCCTCAATTCTTTGGCGCTCAGCCTTTCTTATGGTCCAACTTTCACAGCCATACATTGCAACTGGGAAAACCATAGCCTTGACTATGTCACTACCTCCATTTCTTCCCCATCTATTTGCCAGGAATTGATAGGGCTGGATGCCATGATCTTAGTTTTCTTAATGTTGAGTTTCAAGCCAACTTTTGCACTCTCCTTCTTCATGCGCATCAAGAGGCTCTTTAGTTCCTCTTTGCTTTCTGCCATTAAAGTGGTATCATCTGCATATCTGAAGTTGTTGATATTTCTCCCGGCAATCTTAATTCCAACTTTTGATTTATCTAGCCCCGCCTTTCTCCTGATGTGCTATGCATATAAGTTAAATAGGCAGGGCGATAGTATAAAGCCTTGCCGGACTCCTTTCCCAATTTTTAACCAATCAGTGGTTCCGTGTCCAGTTCTCACTGTTGCTTCTTGACCCGCATATATGTTTCTCAAGAGACAAATAAGATGGTCTGGTACTCCAATCTCTTTAAGAACTTGCCACAATTGGTTGTGATCCACAAAATCAAAGGCTTTAGCATAGTCAATGAAGCAGAAGTAGATGTTTTTCTGGAACTCCCTAACTTTCTCCATGATCCAGCGTATGTTGGCAATTTGATTTCTAGTTCCTCTGCCTCTTTGAAATCCTGCCTGTACTTCTGGTAGTTATCTATCCACATACTGCTGGAGCCTAGCTTGTAGGATTTTAAGCATAACCTTACTAGCATGTGAAATTAGTACAATAGTGCGATAGTTTAAATATTCTTTGGCATTGCCTTTCTTTGGAATTGGAATGTAAACAACCATTTTGCTTTCTTGCCTTTCTATTTCTTTGGAATAGTTTTAGTTGCTACCTCTTGTACAATGTTGCGAACTTCCATCCATAGTTCTTCAGTCACTCTGTCTATCAGATCTAATTCTTTAAATCTATTTGTCACCTCTACTGTATATTCATCAGGGATATGATTTAGTTCATACCTGAGTGGCCTAGTGCTTCCCCTATTCCCTTCAATTTAAGTCTAAATTTTGCAACAAGAAGCTCATGATCTGAGCCACAGTCAGCTCCTGGCCTTGTTTTTACTGACTGTATAGAGCTTCTTCATTTTTGGCTGCAGACCACATAGTCAATCTGATTTCTGTGTTGACCGTCTGGTGATGTCCATGTGTAGAGTTATCTCTTGGGTTGTTGGAAAAGAGTGTTTGCTATTGACAGAATTCTATCAGCCTGTGCCCTGCTTCATTTTGAACTCCAAGGCCAAATTTGCCTGCTATTCTGGTTATCTTTTGGCTTTCTACTTTAGCATTCCAATCCCCATGATGATAAGGACATCGTTTTTTGGTGTTAATTCTATAAGGTGCTGTAGGGCTTCATAGAACTGGCCAATTTTATCCTCTTCAGCACCAGTGATTGGGGCATAGACTTGGATTACTGTGATATTGAATGGTTTGCCTTGGATTTGAACTGAGATCATTCTGTCATTTTGGGGATTGTATCCCAGTATTGCTTTTCCTACTCTTATTGATTATGAAGGCTACTCCATTTCTCCCTACTCCCTACTTCTGAGGGGATTCTTGCCCACAGTAGTATACCTGATGGTTATCTGAATTAAATTCACCCATTCCTGTCCATTTTAGTTCGCTGATTCCTAAAATGTTGATGTTCAGTCTTGTCATTTCTTGTTTGACCACATCCAGCTTGCCTTGATTCATGGATCTTATATTCCAGGTTCCTATGGACAAAAAATCTTTACAGCATCTGACTTTCACCACCAGATTCATCCACAGCTGTGTGACGGCTTTGGCCCAGTCCCTTCACTCTTTCTGGCACTACTAGTACTAGCCCACTGCTCTTCCCCAGTAGCATATTGGACACCTTCCGACCTGAGGGGCTCATCTTCTGGCATCATATCTTTTTTTCTTTTGGTACTGTCCATGGGGTTTTCATGGTGAAGATACTGGAGTGGGTTGCTATTTCCTTCCGCAGTGGATCACGTTTTGTCAGAACTCTCTGCTATGACCTGTCTGTCTTGGGTGTCCCTGCACGGCATAGCTCATAGCTTCATTGAGCTACGCAAGTCCCTTCGCCACAACAAGACAGTAATCCATGAAGGGGGCTTTAGTCTGAGTCTGACACAAAAAGAAAAACTATTTTGTAGTGGTAGTAAGTCTGTAAACTTAATATATCTTATATTTCAGAAAAAGTTACAGATATTTTAGTGTTCATACAAGCTATGGTTTAGTTGTTACTATATTTAGTAGTTATATTTTGTAACATTTAAAGAAAATGCAGAACTTTAAATGACAGTAAGCCATGTTGAACTTAATGTAACCTACATAGGATTAGACTGCAAATTTTACATAAATTGTTTACTGCATAGATAAAAGTCTAGACTGTATAGCTATACTGTAGACTGCTTTATCATAGAAAAATTCTTTAAAAGCACAATTTGCCCCCCCCCTTTTTTTTCCAAAACCAGTGTCCAAAATACTTGAATGTCTTTCCTTATTTTGAAATGAAGAAATGACCAATGTCAGCAGATAAATGATGTAAGAATCATAAGGATTGAAGTAGTATACAATCACACAAATATTAGGCTGTAAATCCACATCTATAAGTTTGTTTTCAAATCAGTGTATGTATGTGTGATCCCTAAAGTCAACCTTGACTTTGATAACTACACAGATAGTTCCAGGTGGTTTTTTTGGAGAGCGGGCAATATTTCTTAAGTAGTTATTATGTTATATGAATTATCAAAGTTAAGTTATATATGTTGACCCGTTTCAAGAGTGCTGTACTGTTAGGCTCAAGCAAGCAGGTCCACATGTGAAAGTTCAAAACTACTGATTTATTTCTCAAGCCTATGCACTCTCAAACAAAGGATTTGCACCTGGATAAAATTAGATAAGAGTCAACTGCATTCAAGGGAGTGGGGCTTTGTCCTCTTATGCCTATGTAGAAACTCAATAAACTGATTCCCTGTGTAATTCCTCCCTTAACACTGCTAGTTTCCTGCATTACCATGTATAGCAGTGGTTTTTAACCTTCCTAATGCCGCGACCCTTTAATACAGTTCCTCATGTTGTGGTGACCCCCAACCAGGAGTGGGTTCTAATTTTTTTTACTACAGGTTCTGTGGGCGTGGCTTATTTTGTGGGTGTGGCTTGGAGGTCATGTGACTGGGTGGGCGTGGCTAGCTGTTATGTGACCGGGTGGCCATGGCTATGTGTATAGGACTACTCAGAGGGCTGAAAAAAGTCATTTCTGACACGTCCTCACACTTTTGACTGGTCCTCACACTTATGACCATCCTCACATTTATGTCCGTGCAGCATTCTTAACAACCATGTCACTCATTTCACAACTGCTTCTCTTCACCATGGTGACAAGATAGGGCAAAAACGTAAAATGTGAGTAAGTCGTAAGTTCGAGGACTGGTCAAAAGTGCGAAGACCAGTCAAAAATAACTTTTTCAGCCCCTCTGAGTAGTCCATATGCACAAAAGGACTACCCAGAGGGCTGAAAAAAGTGATTTCTGACAGGTCCTCGCACTTTTGACCGGTCTTCGCAGTTACGACTGGTCATCATTTATGCCTATTGTAGCATTCTTAACAACCATGTCACTCATTTCATAACTGCTTCTCTTCACCATGGTGACAAGATAGGGCAAAAACGTAAAATGTGAGGACAGTCGTAAGTTTGAGGACTGGTCAAAAGTGCGAGGACCAGTCAGAAATAACTTTTTCAGCCCTCTGAGTAGTAAATATGCATAAAAGGATACAGCAATAGAGAGGGATGAAGGAAGGGAAGTAAAATTAGAGTAGGAGTGAGGGTAAGAGAGGGAGGAAGAGAGGAGGAAAAGGAGAAAGGAAGAGGAAGTAGGGAGGAGAAGAAGAGGGCGAGGACGAGAAAGTAAGAAGGAAAGAAAAGAGAGAGGTGGTAGGTTTGAGGAGAAAGATTGCTGTACAATAAAAAAGATGAAAGGGAAGAAAGCCAACCCCAAACAAATATAAAGATATTAAGATAAAAAATGAATTGTTAAACTTTAAAGAATAAAAGAGAACAAATATGAATAAATAGCAATAATTAGAAACACACATACAAACTTACAATGTATTTTCTTTGAACAGAGTATTTGGCCGGTTCACAAATTTAAACAGTGTTTAGTCATTTCAATTAAATTTACAATTTCTATATTTCCTTTTTGCCATATTTATTCCCCATCTATTTTTAAAAAAACCAATATTACCCTTCATCCTCATCTCTAATCTTAATCAAATTCAATTTTTCCCTTCTATTCTATATTATACCCCTTCCCATTGTCATCTATTTTTATATCCATCCTCACATTGGTTAATTATGTAATATTACAGTTGTTTAATATAAATTCAACATGTTAATATAAATCAATTAGTTATATAACTACCTTTTTTGTATATTAATCAATATGAACATGAATATTCCAATTATTTCCATGCATCCAATTTCTTACAAATCAATTATATTTACAATAATAATAAACCAAATAATTTCCCCCATATATTCCTCCAAACCACAACTTAACCATTTCTGCTTTCAACACAATATACAATTAATAGTATCTCAATTATTACAATTCCCTAGTTAAATAGAGCTTTTTTTCTTTTGTGTTTTAAAATCTTGAACTCTCCTCTTTTTCCCTAAATTTCCAATTGTTTGCACCTACCTTTTATGGTGAGGAAAAAGAAAAGAAATCTGCCTGCCTAATTTTCCAACGTTGCAGCAACAGCAAAGCCAACAGCCTGCTTTACTTTCAGTTTCGTTTTTTCAGCATAGCTAGGGGAAAAAAAATCTGCTCCAGCAAGCAGCAGAGCCCTGAGCAAAACAGCTGAGAGCAAATCAGCTGAGAGTCGGGAGCCGATCTAATCAAGGGCTAATTAGCCTATGCTGAAGCTCCGCGGGCCAATAAAATTACAAAAAACCACCGAACCATTTGTTAAATTGCTGGCTCGCCTGCCCCTCGTCCACCATTATTTATTGGCAATAAATAGTGGTGCGGAGGGGCGGGGCAAGGGGCGGGCTTTGAAGCCCCGCGGCAAGAATTTAAACAGTTTTTTTTCCTCTAGCCATCAGCTGGGACTCAGGAGGCAGCAATAGATTGGGAGTGGGCGAGGTAAGCGAACGGCCGGCGATCCAACAGAGCAGAGAGTGTGGGTGAGTGAGTGAAGGCGTGGGAGGGGGGCGAGAGAGGGCTTTGGCGACCCCTGTGAAATGGCCATTCGACCCCCAAAGGGGTCACGACCCCCAGGTTGAGAACCACTGATGTATAGGAATCTGGTAATAGATTTTCAGATTAACAAATTTTATTGAAAATTATTATATTTTATATATTTCTGAATTTTGGCTATGGTAATATGGCTTTCCTGCAACATGAATGTAACAAACTTTTGTAAAAATATTTTTTACAAGTAAAAGTATTATTAATTTAGATACTAAAGCTTGGAAAATTTCTTACTGCTTTGAATTTCAAAGATCAAATTATAACTTGCTGCATTTTAAATTAAGCCAGTAATTATATGCAGCAGAAGAAAAGCCAGCCACAATTGATTTGGTTTGGAAATCATCCTCATTGTGCTTTGTCTTTCCCTTAATTGTCACTGAAAAGCCATTCTGTAAGAGATAGTAGATAGAGTAACAGGAAGCATCAGCTAAGAAAGTTTGCTCTTTTAAAAATTTATTCTTAGGGATTATAATAAAAAATCCAGAATTTTTTTCTATAATATCTATTGCAATTTATATTTTTAATTCATAGCTTTTAAGACTGTTAGCTCAAGGCCTCAGTTAATGCTGTGTAGAAGAAATAGGCCTTGTATTGCCCCGCCCACGCCATGATTATACAAATATATTCAAATGACTTATCTGAACCACCTATAGACATGTTTGACCTAGCTCCGACCTCTTGCCTTTAAATTCATATGTAATAGCCATACACTGTGGAAAATTGTAAATTCCTAACTTTGGGATGGGCAAAAATGTATTTCTTCTTTATATTTCTTTCAGAAATATGCCAGTGCAGATTTTCTAGAATCAGATTTGTCTCTGAAATATAGTTCACTTCAGCCAACTTTGACAGCTTCAAAGTTATATCATATTTGCTTTAGAGATTATTTGTTTTTTAAAAAATTGTCATCTATTGCCACATTCTTTTCCAATTTTTAAGTAAAAATTATTTTTCAGAACTTTGTGCTTTTTTCAAAGTAATGTTAAACCTCATAAAACCAGATCTAAAAAAAATAATACTGAACATACTAATACATAATATGCTTAATGAACGTGAAGCTGATGCTGATTTTCATTATACTAATTTGCAAACAAAAAATTTTCTTATTCAAAATTTTCTACAAAACATGTACCTTTTCTTAAAATATTATTTACAAATCCCTAGGAAAAAGTATAAAATTTTTGTGAAGACAAAAGCTGTCCTGATATGTTGTAATTGTCTTTTTTTAGCTGCTGTCCTTAAGCAAAAAAAAACCACAGAGAAAAGCAGTACAATACTGACTTTATGTCCCAAAAACGCCGATTGCAAGATCATGACATTAATCCATGTTTAGAGGTAAGTTGAATACTTATAAATCGACATTATGAGTTTTTAATTTATTTTTCCAAAGTGTAGCTTTACATAAGAATGTGCAAAACACGGCAAACATAGCAGTTGACTGTGGATAGTTTGTGTCCAAACAGAGACATGTATTCTAGGTATCTTAGTTCATAGAATGAAATGGGGCTGTGTTCTTTTAGAAAGATTGGTCCAGGTAAGCGTGATTCAAAGAAGGGTTGAGAAGTTGTTTTTTGTTTAAGTCTGAAGGGATCTTCTTGGCAACAGCTTGTGAAGACCTAACCAGTGGCAGTTGAGGAGATGCGGGATGAAAAGTATATGCTGTGCTGGGACATCAAGGGTGGCAGGAGAAGGAAGGTAAAAAGTTGGGAAGATTGGGAGGGTAGGCAGGTGGGATATAAATCACAATAGATTATCATATGTTGGGATAGCAGACAGACCAGAAAATTGATGGCTGATATTGAAGGGCTCTTGTAACTACTAATATGTTCTGGGTTTATTTCTGTTGAATTGCAAAGTCATAATGCTTCTGAACTTCAGTAGTTTGAAACAAAACATTTGTTGTTGACCTTGCTTTCCGGAACAGCATTTTTCCAGATATACTTACAGTGTACATACTCTTCATGTTCCAGATTTGGCTTGGTTGTGATGCCTACAGTTAACAGTACAAATACCTTTGTACCTAGCTAATATCTGAATTATATAATGTATTTGCATCTTGTAATACAATAAAACAACTATAAACGGAATGGACAGCAATAATAAATTTAATTAAATAAATTAAAATAATGTTTTCTTTCTTGAAATATGTGCTGAAGTAAGGCTTTTTTGAAGTTTCCATTTGCTACTAAACTAGTTTTGAAGTCTAAGGACTTGTTTTGAAGTGTTTAAGAAATGTTTATGAATTCAAAAATTTCTACCTTTTGAAAAAAAATAGACATTTAATATAAGAACATCCTGTTGAATACAGATACAATTCCTTTGGTTTAAGTCTTATATTTATTGTTTTTTCTGTCACATGTGTAATATAGCAGTTCTACTATTGGATATTTTATTGGATTTATGACTAATAAACTGATTTGATATAATATAATTCAAGATCCATTATTTTTCTTTTATTTAGTTTTTCAAGCACAAAGATTAACCCTTTGCAGAACAAGTAAAATATAACTATAAACTTATTTCTTAATAGAAATCAATAGAATATTGATTACATCTAACAACTTTAAATACTAATAATCATACTAATTATCATTCTATATTTTTTTAAAGAATAGTTTTATTAAAATTTTTGAAGTTATCATAAACCAAATGTTTTTATTGGCTATTGTAATCTCTATTTTAACAACTTAAAATCTTTTAAAAATATTTATACAAAACTTGACCTAAGTCTGGTATATATACAAATAAAACATGGGCTGTTCAGTGCTATTATGGTACTGTTCTTCAGCAACAAGAATTCTGTGTTTCTTTCCTTTTTTTTCTATAAGCTCTATGAAGGAAGTTCTGCTGATGCATTTGCTTTGGCTCTGCAAAGAAGTACCACTTCCCGAGTTCAGCTTGCCTTATTTTTTTATCTCCCAGCTCCTTTCTATGAATTGAGAAGTAGTTCAGTTGAAGATGTAGGTTTTTTCTAAATTATAATTGTGATTTGTTATAGGTGATATCGTATGATGTTATAAAACCTTTGAGCAAGCTGTTGAAACTATCAGTCAGATAAGGAAATTATCTTATTTCTTGCATATTTCTTGGGATTCTAGTATATCTTTTAGATTATCAATTCTATTTTAGTTTTAAAAAAACCAAAAAGTTTGCATCCTTATCAAATTTGGTTGCATTTCTTGGTAACAATATTTTTTTGTTGGGAGAATTTTAAGATATCTATTATCTTAATATTTACAAAACTATAGTTTTAACTTTTAGCCTAAACTTAGTTTTAATGTCTTAGATTAATACTTTTAAGAAACAGATATAACACTACTTTTAAGTAGGATTTAATTCTAACATAATTATTTGTAAGATCACAGCCTTATTGTTTAGTTGCCTTTCAACAAATGAAGATGGCACTCTTCCAAACTGTGGAAATCAACTATTTTATATTTTATATTTTATTTTCATTCATATTCAAGGAAAGCGATGCTTCTAGAAAGTGTTTGGAAGTGAATCAATCCGATAAGGATATGTGTGCAATCTTTTTTCTAAAGTATAAAAGTTGCCGAAAATTTTGGGTAAGTAGATTTGAAAGGCTTTTAAATAAACGTTTTCAGGTAAACAAATAGAAATAATGTCTCTTATCTATTTCTGTCTATCAATTGTTTTAAAAAAGCTGTCAATATTAAAGGGTCAGATTATTGCATCATTTATATGAATTTACATTACAACGTCTCTGAACCCTTCGTAGCCACAGAATCTAACAAAATGTCAGTTACTTCAGATTAAAATTTTAAATAGTAACAATTAAGATAAATTAAAATACACATTCATTATACACAACAAATTAAAATAACCAAGTAAACAATTTCCAAGTGTCCAGGAGAAAATGAATGGTTTTCACTGTCATACTAAATGCTAATATTGTTTTTTCTTTGAAATTTAGGGGCAGACTAGTCCAGGGGTCTGCAACCTTAAATACTCAAAGAGCTATTTGGACCTGTTTTTCACAGAAAAGAAAACACCAGGAGTCACAAAACCCTTCCCGTGCCTGACTATTTCTTGAGCGGCCACAAACCTAGAATATATAGTTGAATTAAATATTCTGTTTTCTTCTGAAACTTTTCTTGGATTTATCCATGGTTGGCCTACTGGGGGTTGAAAAGCTCAATAAATCGCGTGCTGGTGGGTGTCACACATTGATGGTTGTGAAACATATTTTGAGTGACGGAGCCACAGCAGAGGGGTGAAAGAACCACATGCAGCTCCAGAGCCGCAGGTTGCTGACCCCTGGACTACTCTATAGAGATAGTGTATTTTCAATAAGATTTACCTTCTTATTCACTTCTCATTGGTCCTGGGATCTGAAGTATCTCATTCTGGATTGAATGCAACAGAATGGGCATTTTCTGTTCAGAGAAGGTGGTCCTGAAGATAAAGAACTATGGAGTTTTATAATTAAAACCATCCATTTGAACAAATTGGCAACCAATGCACTGCCTTCAATATATCTGAGACGCTGTTGACCTGGCTTTCAAATGTAAGTGGATTACTACATTCTGTACCAATGAACATTTCCAGGAAGCTTTTCAAAGAAACCTTATAGAATATGCTGCAACAGATCAATCTTAAATTGGTAAGAGTGTGTGTAACTGTTGCTTGTGCTGGCTGATCCAACAAAGGGTTGCAGTTTTCCCATTAGTTGAAACTGGGCAGAGGCTCGCTTAACCCCAGCCTTTATTTACTGAGCAATCTTGTTTGTTTGTTTGTTTGTTTGTTTGTTTGTTTATTTGATTTAAACAGCCATCCATTTCACAACAGTGAGTCAGATTCTGTAAACACAGTATAATCTTGGAAGTTGCAGCTGCTTTATCATGTAAAAGAAGAAGAGTTGACTCCAGATCCTTTTTTAATGAACAGTAATTAATATTTTATGTATATTTAACTTTAGATTATTTTATCCCATCCAGCCTCCAGACACAGTTAATGATACCAACCACTTTTCAGCTTTGCCCATGGTGAAAATATGTAATTGGATATTTATCTTAATACCTCAACCTAATTAATCACCTGCCCCAGTGATTTCCTATAGAAGTTAAATTACACGGGGAACAATGCAGAGCCTATGTCAGTGATGGCTAACCTTTTTGCCATAGTGTGCCAGGGGAAGGGGGGAGGTTCACACACGCGCGTGCCCACACCCATAATCCTATGAGCCCTGTCTTGCACATGCATGTGCAACCCCCCCTACACCCTGCTTCTGGCATGCAATGGCCTGGTAGGCCTGTTTTTCTTTCTTATCTGGCTCCAGATCCTCTCTATGCATCTGGGAAGGGCGAAACAGCCTTTCTCACTCCCTCTGAAGCCCTTAGAAGGACTGTAAGGGCCCATTTCCCAACTTCTGGTGGGACAGGAAGTGACTTTTTTGCTGTCCCCAGCCTCCAGAGCCTCTCTAGGCGTCTCTGGAGGCTGGGAACAGCAAAAAACGTCACTTCCTGTCCCACCGGGAGTTGGGAAATGGGCCTTTTCAGGCCTCCGGAGTGTCTATGAGAGAGTGGGAAAAGCTGTTTTCGCCTTCCTTAGACTCATAGAGAGGATCTGGAGCCAGGTAAGAAAGAAAAACGGACCTCCCCCTCCCCCCCCAGTCAGGTCCTCCGGAGGCACTTAATAATATGGGTAAAGACATTCATTTATTCCCACCTATTTTTTGTGAAAAAAACTAGCTGAGCATACTCTGATGTTATACCACACTGTCAGGAATGAAATGTAAAAATGTTTGCTACTGGTTCTGTGGGCATGGCTTGATGGGTGTGGCTTGGTGGTCATGTGACTGGGTGGGCATGGCCAACTTGACATCACTCACTGTTAGAACCAGGAGCTGTACATTTGGAAGCACATTCTGCCCCTTCTGAAGCCCCAAACACTTTGAGTTTCCCTCCACTACCTAAGTGAACATCGGAGCCTTCTCTTGCCACCCTTTCCATCCCGGAGGGTCATGCATTCCCCCCCCCCCCGCCAATCCTCCGTACAAACTAGTGGTGAAATCCAAACATTTCTTCTCTTTCTTTCTCTTTCTTTCTCTCTTCCTCCCTGTCCCCCACTCCCCACCCTCACTTCCCACCCCCCACACCCAGGGAATAACTGTAAGGAAAGTTGGCCACGTTCTCTGTCTCTGGAAAGATACCAAAATAAACCTTGCGTTGGAAAAGGGGTGACAGTCAGGCTGTCACAGCAGAGCACCACGAGGTTGCCTCGAGAGCAGATGGAGCTGAATCTCAATCTCTCTCTCTCTCTCTCTCTCTCTCTCTCTCTCTCATACACACACACACACATACACTCTGCCCGACTGCAGCAGGAAATGGCAGGCAGCCCTCTCTGTCTCTCATCTCTCTTTTTCTCATCTTTCTTTTTCTCTCTCTCTCCTTCTCCCTCTCTCGTTTGTGTGTGTGCATGTACATGTGCGTCTTCCCTCTTTAACCATTTCCAAAAACAGGTGAGGGTTGGTTTCTTTTGCTGATGTTGTTTCTTCTTTGGGTTCTTTTTACCGTATGATTTAAATCAAGAGTCATTTCAGGTTCCCAGATAAATGAAGCTCTTTCATCCCCCTGCTGTGGTTCCCTGTCGGCTGGCTGCCCCCCCTCGCCCTTCCCTCCCCCTTACTCGTCGCCTATCCTGAGAAGAGAAGGGCGACGGTGGCAGATGGAGACTCACTCCGTATTTCAGAGTGGAAGCGAAGCACCCCTCTATTTGCGTCTTTTTCCAGCCCTTGTTGGGAAATGCGTGACTTTTCTCTGCGCCTAGACATTGGCTGGACTGCCTGGCTGCAGACAATGCTCCGCGTCGTAATGGGCTCCAGGAGGAGGAGGAGGGGACGCCATCTCCCCCATTGTGCAGCGCGCTAAGTTTAAGTGTAAAAGCAACAAGCAGCCATGGAGGCGGCGAGAGGAATATGGGGAGACATGTCTCGGGGTAGAGAAAGTCCCTGAGAAAATTTTTTTAAAAGATTAAAAAAAAAGGCTCTGACCCCTGACCATCTGATAATAAACAAGATTCTTCGATGTGCTGAGATGGACAGGCTAACGTATATCTTAAAAGACAAGAAAGATTCAGTATATAATAGAAGTTGGGACAGATATTTTGTTTGGCTCAAAAGAAGGTTAAACTTAGGAAAAGGGTGATAAGATCGTCTAATTAGATTAACTAGATATTTACTAGGCTTTATAACTCTTTATAATTTTGATAAAAACAGACCAATTGTTTTGTAGTTAGTAAAAAGAACTTGATTGCATTGAAATGTTTGGCTAGGATGATATTAGTTAATATTAATTGGAGAGTGAGTTTAACTCTCGGTTAGTCTTGTTTGTTGTTTGGTTTTAATCCTGTGTTTAAGTGTTTCTATGTTTTGCTTCCTATATTGCTTTTCAACCATTATTGTGTGTTAATTTTATTGTAAATATTTAATAAAGATTATTTTAATAAAAAAAGGCTCTAACGATCACAGCTTTGGTGCGTGATCGTCAGTCTTTTTTTACCTTTTAAAAGCAGGAAGTAACGACACCTGGGTGGGTGGGGGAAGGCTCACGCTGCCATCGCTACCGGTTCTCTGAACCACCTGCCATAATCGCTACCAGATCGCTTGATCCAGTCCGAACCAGGAGCATTTCACCTCTGCAGTCTGTTCAGTTAATACCAAACTATTTCCCTTTTTATTTTAAAAAAGTGACTCTTCTGGTAGATTATTGACATTGAGCCTCTAGGCCTAATCACATTGTGGCTTCATTCTAGTAATGTCCATGTATATAAATCAGTGTCTATGTATATAAAGAGAAAGTCAAAGTATGATGTTCTCTGTATAGTTCTGTCATGTGCAAACTCTCCTGACTCACATTTCTATGAATGGCCAAGTTCCATCTCCAAACTATTGAGTGATGACTGTGTATCTTAAACAGTGTGATTTATCTTCTACTGATGTTGAAATAGTATTTCAAAAATAGGTACTCTAAATGACAGCATTAACATTTATTTTAATAGAGCAAGTCTTATCCAACTATAAAGCAAGTATTCGATTTGCTGAACTAAATATGTAAATGTATTAAATATTAATTTGCTAATAGCAAAATGGATTTAATCATAGTGTATTATTTGTTTTCATTTCTAGCATGGGATTATGATGCAGAGAAGACAAGATGGAATAAAACCATATATGCCTATAGCAGAAGAAAGAAAGAAAATTCTAGCTTCATTGGGAAGAGCACCATATTGACCATACAGTTTTATTAATATAGGATGTGTAATGATTTTACTATAACAGTGTGCTTTATTTTATTTTAAAAAGTGGTTTCTTGATAGCTGCATTGCCACTACCTTGTACTGTAATTTTTACCAAAAACAAAGAACCCTGAAACTTCAAATGTCTAAAGAATGAAATGCATTCTTATATGGGAAAAATTTGTAGAAATAAATAAGGTTTTGCAAATTCATGTGTTTTTATATTTATTGTACCACATAATGTCATATATTATATACATGGAGAAAATTCAAATAGATAACAGATAATGTAAAATTAATTTTCAAATGAAATAGTTGAAAATATACCATTCTCATAAATTTTATTTCCCAAGAAAAGGCAAAGCTGGCTCATTTTAGATCAGTGTATCATTAGTAAATCTTAATATCCTATTATCTTAAAATTATTATTTTAAGGAATGATATTTTTCACTAAAATGCTGATGGTTATCAATCTATAGATATTTTCACCTTTAACCTCAAGTCTGTCAATTCAGTGGTATTAACTAACATTAATACATTCAGTTTGGTATACATCAGGAGTTTCCTAGAAAAGGTGGTATGTAGTATTTTCAAAAAGTTTAGGAAAAACTGAACACTTTCCGCATGTCCAGCAGACGTCAACTTGTAATTTGTATATAAATTTCAGTATAGATGGAATCAAGAATCACTGAATTCATATGAATCATATTATGTTTAGTGTCAGGATATCACAGCATTCATATTTAGTTTTGTATCTATTGCATGAGACCTTTAAAAATAGGTCACTAAATGTATTAATTTTGGCAATATTTTTGTTCCTTCAAAATGTTATTTATGAACCTTTTTTTTAAATTTTTAATAAATATTTTTAATAAATTTTTAATTATGTTATTTATTTATTTTTAAATAATAAATGTTCAACTGAGTAGTACTTAAATGTATTTTGATATGCTGGTAAAGTTCTTGAGAAACTTTTCAACTTGCTGGTTAAATTCCGCTGTTCATCTCTTGCTTATAGGATATAATTTGAAAATTATGAGGGAAGTCTTCTGCAAAGAACAGCCAGGTGAGCTGGGAAGTACTTGGCAGCTATTTGTTAAAGGGCATGTTGTATAGAAGAGTTAAATCAAATTACAAACACTGTCAGAGTTACACAAATAATTAAAATGAATAGATTTATATATATCCTTCTGTATGAAATCTTTGTATCTGAACCATATTTAATTATTTTAGAGGAAGGGGTGTTACTGCAGATTTGATCTTGTGAATTATTTCAGCTGATGTTTTCATTCCTACTTTTACTCAGTACTGCCATAGTGTTGAAACAAGTGTGTTTTAAGTGTGAGCAATTCTACATATAAATCTTATGATTTTTTAAAAAAAATATTTTTCAATGCTGATTAGAAACAGTTCTACATTATTTACTAGGCAGTTAAACTGAAATGAGGATGTGAAAAATTGACAGCAACATTTCAGACTATATTGAAACTCTTCCCATATTTAGTACAATTATTAAATAAACAATTGTGTATTACTATAACTTAATCCTGAACTCAACTAATGTGTCATGTGTCATCACAAAAGTTTGGATTTTACATTTATGTTTTCTGCCCCTGTTCAACTGTTGAATCTTCAATTTTTCAAAATGGCATTATATAGAATTGGATTACGGAGAATTAAGAATGAAAAGTGACTAGAGGGAGGTGACAAGTTGTCATCCATTCCTAGAATGTCTGCAAATCCAGTATTGATGTGAAGCTGTTGATTGGCTTGATCTTTTAAAATATTCCATTGGTGATTTTTCAGAATCCACCAATATTCATAAATAGTTCAATTGTTTTTTACAATATCCTTCACTTGTATTTGTTCAGGTCTGGTGGATGAAATGGGTCTATTTAGTTCTGTGACTATACTGGATATATGCAATGTTAAGATTACAGATAGGGAACATACGGGATTTTTCAAAAACCTGATGATGTCATTTACAAAAAGATCAATTTTTTCTCTATTACTATATTACAAGATATAGGCTATTGTGAAATGGATTTAAGATACAGAAAAACAAAAACTGACAATCTTGGAAAATAATGCATTTGAATCAATCAACTAAAGAGCTGATAGGTGCCTCTTTATTTATATACAGAAACAAACTAGACAGATTTATTTGAAATGCTGTAATTTGAATTTCTGCATGAGTAGGGACTTAGATTTTATGACACAATTATCATATTAATATATTACTAATATAATTATTTTATTAATTATATTATTTTCCTTTTCATGATCTTACAAGAAAAGGAAGAATTTGGAGTCTTTCATGTACAAAATCATGGCTTTATCCTTTTTTCTAGAATAAATTATTATTAGTAAATATATTTGTCGTCTAGATAATTAAGGTAATTTCAGATGCTATTAGAAATATGAAAGTGTAATATTGATATATGTAATTCATTGGGGAAAATAGTAAGGCATACTTGTTGGTGTTTAAATTACTAAATTAAAAAGCATTTATAAAGTTTACTGCAACTCAAGTTGCTTTGATGCCTGTTTAACAACAAGGTAATATTTCTGGACTTAGATGCTAAATAGGATCAGGCTTGGTTAATATTGATGGAAGATCTCTATGGAATACAAGGGCTGTAGAATCTAGATCGGTAGGAAAAATAGAATAGAACACCCTCCCCCACCCTCCCCAAGTGGTCACTTTTATATTTTTGCCAAGAAAACTGCATGAGTTTTCTGGAATTGAGCTTAACAGAAGAGACTATTTTTTACTTGAGTTGATGACTATGCTGGGAGGCAACAGTTTGTTGTAGAGAAAGATCTGAAAAGGTAACTGCTGTTGTATTTTTCTATTTAATTGTGTAGTATACATTAAAATATATAATTTATTTCTCAAGCCATTAGTCTTGAAGTTACACTTCTACATTGTACAGTGAGGTAAATTATTCTAAAATTATTGAAAATTATTTGTAGGTGAGGATGTGGGTCAAACTCTAGGTTTTTAATTTACATAATCCCGAGTCACTGTGAGTTGGGCAGCTATATAAATTTGTTTAATAAAATAAAGTCTCAGTAGCTCCTAATTACTAGCAAGTTTTGGAAGTAAAACTTAAAGATTAAAAACAATTTAGAATATAAGAAATATATCATTAGACCTGAATATATACATTCTTTTCATTCTTTCCATCATTTCCTGGTTTCTGAAGCTGGAATAATACTTCATTTTATTGCTAATCACATGCTTCTCATTAAAGGAGTTTAGATTTTTGTTCTCTAGTAGTAGTAGTAGTAACATGCATTTAGTAAACTAGAGAAACTTAAAAATGTCAATGACTCCACTACCTCCAGTGGGCCAAGTCACATTTACAGTGTCATTTCAGGAGAAAATATTGCAATATATAATTTTTAAAAACAAGTAGTAGAAATATTGCTGCTAAATAAATCTTATTTCTTTTATTAATGTGCTTCCCTGTAGCAAATCAACTAAGTCACCTAGTAAGATTCCACAGCTGAGAATAGACTTGAATCTACATCTCTTTTGTTCTAGAGCAGGGCTGTCAAACTCCTGACCCACAGGCCGGATACGTCATGCATTGGCCATGCCCAAGCGCAGTTTAGCGAAGGGGGAAAAAGTTCCGATACATCACATGACACTGCTGTGACATCCGTTCCAGAGTAACATCTTAACCATTATGCCTTTCTGGCTGAATCTGCAAATAACTAAATTCTTTTGCAACCTAAAGTCATGCAGTCAAGTCTATTTCCTCAGTCTGGATAAAGTCTTCATTTGTTGGCCTATGTCTAGCCCATTATAAATTTCATCCACTTATTTAAGGATTAGAATAAAGAATATATTTTATTAACCCAGAAACTTAGTTAATACTCATTAAATGCTAAACTGGTTGTTCTCTCTGAGCTTGGTTTTTACTTGCAGATGTTTCATTGCCTAATTAAATAATGTCATAAGTATAACTGTGGGTTTGCTGCCTGTTTATGTACAGTAGCTTTCCTGCCAGTGTGGGTGTGGGTGCAGTTTTCTCCTTGATAGTTCCTTGATTATGGTATTAATTATTTGCTTAATTATTTGCCTGATCTTAATTCCTATTTATTTAGGTGTTGGCTGTTGGAGAGGATGTGTTCTGTTCTTTTTGTTTAGCTTTTTTATTGTCTCTTTTGCATAGTGTGTAAATATGGTTTATTTCTATGTATCAATTGGTGGCTGATCTGTTTTAATGCCAAGCTTTCATGAATTCCCTAGTGTGTTGGATTTAGCTTGGTTTAGGTTGCTCACTTTCCCAGTGAAAAGTATGCTTGCATCTGTCTTCATGTTGTAAGATTAAGGAGTTTTCATTATATCTTTTGAGTTCTAGTTCATGGATGCGTTCTGGTAGTCTTCTGTCTGGCTGTCCTACATAGTGGCTGTTACAATCTTTACATTGTATACTTTACATTGTATATTGTAGATCGGGGGTCTGCAACCTTGGCAACTTTAAGACTTGTGGACTTCACCTCCCAGAATTCATCAGCCAGCTTTGCTGGGAGTTGAAGTCCACAAGTCTTAAAGTTGCCAAGGTTGCAGACCCCTGTTGTAGATGTCTCCTATTTTGTCTCCTGGGCTATTGTGTGTTTTGGTTTATTTAAGATGTTTTGAAGGGTTTTAGTTGGTTTGTGTACTGCTATGATGCCATATTGTGTGTTGATTGTAAGATGTTTTTAATGTGTGGTAATCTTATCTTTTTCAGACTTTATGTTGACTTTATGTTGGTTGTGCTATAGTGGTTTGAGTAGTCAGGCATTTTTGGATAAAGTTGTGTGGGCATCTTTTTTTTTTTTTTTTTTTGAAAGATGGTCTATAGGTGGTCTGTTTCATTTTCTGTTCTGGATTACTGTAATGGTTCTTCCTGCTCTTTTTTATTAAATATAGGTGAAGCTGCTGGTTATCTGTCAGCATGGATTGAAACATTTTCAATATGCTTATGATACTCATGATCTCTGCCCAAGGACAACCAAGTGATGCTTCATGTCTGGAAGCTGTAGGGGATGTAATGGGAGAATAACTTTGAGGAACAGGAGAATTGCAGCCAAGAGAAAGGTCATATAAAAGAAATCTGAGTCCAAAGCATGTAATTTGAGAAAACATTTCAGACTTGATCCTTCCTAGTTTTCTTTAAGATAAAGACAGGAAAGAGGACACACATTTAGACTTGCAATATTCTGTTTCTGTAACTATAATAAAATTACAATTGGCCATCTTTAGTTCTTGATGGCATGGCAGTACCCAAACTGAACCAATGTGTTATTTGGGAGGTCTTATGACCTCATGTTTTTGCCTAAAGTATGTGGCATCTGTGGCCAGAGAGTTTTGCAGTTACAACTTGTGCAATTGTACCCTTTCCTAAATTGGGTGGTATTGCTCATATTCACCTACTGTGTAATTATTGCAATGTGATCTAACTGGGCTGTCTTGAAAAACCATCTGAAAACTTCAGCTGATCAATAATGCAGTCGCAGGCAGTTTTGAGTGCACCACTGTATATCAATATTATATCTGCTGAGTAAACTGCACTGGTTCTAACTGGGCTTAGTAGTATTTAAAAGGTCCTGGCCTTCTGTGACATGGGGCTGGAATATTAGGAAATTAGGAAATGTCAACTAATGTAACCTGGGAAATGTCCCCCCCCCTTTCTGTTATAGCCCTTGTTCCTTGGAACACCATATTTCAGGAAATCCAGCTGGCATGACTCTTCTGGACTTCCATAAAACTTTATAACATGGTTGTTTTTTTTAGCCTGTGGGTGAGGCTGATAGGCTTGCGAGATCCATTTTATTGTTGTGACAGTTGTCCTTGGCAACCACTATATATTTTATCAATCCTGTTTGTGTTTTTGTAGTTTTTAACCATGTTATCTGCCAAGTATCGTTAAAGTTGAAGATGGGCATCTATAAAGTGCAGTTAATTTATGTTTTTAACTCTTAGAACACATATAGAGTTGACAGATCTTGTATGTAATTGCATTTCTTTGTAATAAATGAAACCAATGTATAAGGTATTATTTGTAAGCATGTTTACGAAAGAAAGCATGTTTTACCTTTGTTTTAAGCTACTTTTGTACTATTTATCTATACATCAAGACAGAGAGAGAAAAGAGCTGCCTAACACCATTTCAGTCTTATTGAGAGGAAGGATTCCAGAAACACAATGGAAGCACTATGGTTGCTAAATAATTTTGAGGAATGATTTCAATAGTAATAGCTAAAGAATACAATTATTGTAAGCAGAATTTCATATTTAAATGTAAGCCTTTACTGGTTCCTTGGCATAAATTGATCATGTGATGATCATTTTACTACTTACTTATATGAAATAGTAACTTTACCAGCTAAGGCAGGGATGTCAAACTTGCGGCCTATGGGCTGGATATGTTACGCGCTGGCCACACCCACTCCGTTTAGTGAAGGGGAAAAAAGTCGCGATACGTCACATGACAACCAGAATTTGATACCCCTGAGCTAAGGTATCTAAAGTTATTGATTAAATGAAAGAGATTATATATGTTCTGTATTAGGGATATGTAGTGAGCTGGAGTTTACTTGGAGTTGGGGGGTTTTCTGGAAGCTGACAGAGGCCTAATCTTTGGAAATTACCTGATCCTTTTCCAGATCAGAAGCAGAATTCAGAAAAAGAGATTTATTCTTCTGAGATTTCAGACCAATGAATCAAGCCCTAACCTTAACAAGGCTGCTACATTTAGAGTTCCACAGACTTCTCAAACACTCAAGATAAAACTTTTATCGTGGGCTAGTTCTAAGCTGTATAAAACTAGTTCTAAGGTGTATAAAACATCTGGGAGTGTAATTCACTATTATATCTATGGCAATTTATACATTTGAGTGTGGTGATGGTGGTAGGGTGTTGTTCCCCCCCCCACTTTTTTTCAACTAGACTCTGCCCTATACTTCATAGATTTGAAGTCAATCAGTTGACACAACTGACATCTATTACCTGGTCTCTCATACATAATCTGGAATAGTAAAAACAAAACTATGGTACCCACTTCCATTCTTCACTGGGATGAAATAAAATTAGAGGTATAAGACAAAGCATTTTATATTTCACAAGAACAGTGCAGTTATTTTCATGTGAAGCATTTGCATCAGATTGGATCCTGTAATATAATCTTAATAATTATAAACAACAGTTTAATGAAAGAAACATTTTGCAAGAGCAGTGAATCAAAACGTTCATAAACTGGTTCCCAACAGAAAGAGTTTTCACATCGAATAGATGGCCCCTGAAGTGCAGAGTGTTAGTAAAGAAAATGTTGATGTAGACTGCTACATTATACAATTTAAAATTTGCTAATATTAAAAATATTGTTTTTAGTCATTGTATTTTAAAATGGATAATTTAATTAGATAAAGGCCTATGATTCTTACTGGGGCATATCCAAGCAGAGGTCTAAATATTCTTGGTTGTGAAAAATCTGAACAATAAATAATTGCTGGTGCTGCAAGCCTCTTCATTTTGTATCTAAAATGCCAAGTTAGCTGATGACAAAATTGTCATGGCTGGGTACCTTGAAGCTAAGATTTTTCTACTGCAAAGTCTGGAAAGCCAGAGCTCATGAGATGTTCCCATTCAATTTCTAGATAGGCAGTTGTAGTCAGTCTGGGTTAGGATACAGAACATAACTATGAAATAATAACTCAGCATTTTGGGAGAAGTCACAGGAACCTCTTCCTCTTCTCATCTAAAGTGAAAAACCACAATCTCCTGGTCAGAATGGGGAAATTAGACTAAACTAGGTTAGAGCACCTTCACCTTATATATCATTAGTTTATTAATTTACTATTTTCCTTGGTTTGCTAACAGTCCACCAAAAAGTAATTTGTTCCCTATAATTAAGTAATTTCATTAAAATAAAGCATCACCATTAGGTTATATTTCAGTAATTGTAAAAACAGTTATGGTTAAAATTATTCATACCCTGTTCCCAGTATTTAACTTGTTGCTAATAAGCCATTCCAGATTTGTTGTTTTAAGTGTACCCTTTGCAACAACATTAATTAAATTGGAAGTTCTATATATTGGCTTCTCAATTTATAATTAGTCAAGAGAACCTGGAGGTTTTATTGATTTTGTCTGATATTTGTAATCATCCATCTTCTTTGTCCGACCTTTGAATCTATGCATAACTTTTAAAATTCCAAAATAGTCATAAAGGATATCAAGCGTTTTTGCAGGAACAATGCTAAAAAGAAAAGAGAAGAACATAAGCCACTCTATACTGTATTAAACTTTGAGTTGCTGTCAGTTTTGCTAAATTAGTGTTATGCTAATTTTACAGATTGTTTAAGAAGCTAAACAAAATTAGGTGAGATGGGACAGTATAGAAATTTAATAAATATTAATTGCAAAAGAAACAACATAAAAATTAAATTTTATAACATAGAAAAAAACTAAAATTGTAGACAGCAGATAATCTGTAGTAGCCAATAAAATAAAAGCCCCTCTCAGTCATATTAAAAAGATGACAGCAGATAAGAGAACCAATTTAATTCTCTTTGGAAGTGATGTCTATAACTCGGGGGCATATACACATATAAATTTTCTTAAATATCCTAGTGTCTTTGATCTGCTATTGATGAAACAGAAATGTCCTTATTTGGATTTACCAATTTTCTTTGAGATGTAGAAATGCAGAGTATAGTAAACCACTCTTTCTTCTATTCTGATCCACAAATAAAAATACACTAATATGTAATAATAGTTCTCTGGATTCATGCCATCACTAGCTGTTAACATCTCTGCCAACTGCTGCTTTTTGGGTTTACTATGAGTATGATTCAGGCGTCCCTTCTCACAATTTAGAAGCAAATAAAACCTGTCTATTTCTTCTTCACATTAATACAATTGTTCTTTTTGTCCTGATGTTTTGTGTATAGGAACACAATGCTGGTTGAACTGTGGGCTTTGTTCCCTTGGGAACAATGTCCATTTTATCCAGAAATGTTAACCCTATTCCAGGGCTGGATTTACAGTAAAATTCATCCAGGCTCTGTCTCAAACAAAAAGGAACAGCCTTTCTGAGTACAAGACTAGAAAGAATAATCAATATGCTAACTCTGTAAACTGCTTAACGAAGACTGTAAAGCATTATGAAGCAGTATAAAAGTCTAAGTGCTATTGCTAACTGCTATCTTCTCCTTTGCTGGGCTATCACTGAAGCAAAGGTTATGTTGCAGATTTTTAATCTCTACAAGTAACCCATCGCAAGGGTCAGCCCCTTCTCCTGATGGAGTATTTACAGTATCAGGGCTCTAGGCAATACCTGAAGATGACCACATTTCAATTTTGCTCCAAGTGTGACTGCAGGAAAGCATTGGAGACAAGCCATATTTGTTCTGCATTGTGTATGATACTATTTATTTTATGCTGCCTGCAAGCAATAAAATATGCCTTCAAAATATCCAAACTACGATATGGAATCTGAATTTCTGACATTCTCCCTAGAAATGATTCTATTGATAAAATGCTTGCCATACTTTTAATCTTTTGCACCCATCAGGTTTATTGCCCCTACTTTTTAAGTTAAAATCAATTAAAATATAATAGTAATAAACTACAAAGCAAAATACCTATTTCTAACAGCATATGCATTTCCAACTATGGCTCTGTGCCCATCATTTTTTATATTATTGGTAAAGAAAAATGAATGGTTGCAAACTAGTGCTTAATCTTCCACCCAAAAGGGCAAAGATAAATGGAAGTAGCATGGTAAATTCTGCAGTGAGACAGAAGGTAGTAGAGAGGAAGACAGTGTCTTGTAAAATCAGTGTCACCGCTGGATACATCTTCCACAGCAGCCTCTTTTGAATGGGCAGGCTTCTGGACAACCCTTTTGTAAAAGAATTCCCAGTATGTTCTCAGAATTCCAGGTATGCCCACTAATCAATGGTGGTCTCTGTTGTTACACATTCCAATATTCTGTAAAACTTTCATATCCCCATGGATATGATTCGATTTTCTTTCTTTAAAGCAACAACAAAAACAAAAAAGAATGCTGATGGTGCCTGACTTCAGTGCATAGGTGCAGCTGGTCTGGGGTATGTGACAAAGCTTCCCCTTGATCTTTTCAAAACAAAGATTAGTGGATATCACTTCAAGTTAAAGGAAAGAAATCTTCCCAGGGACTGGTGGCACACTCAAAGAATATACATCAGGAATTTGATGCTCTATCTGCTACACTGTTTTTTGCTCTTGTTTTTCTGTGAAGTACCATTCTGCTACATTTCAGATACAGTCTTCACTCTGTGTTCCTTATTTGTGCTACCGGATGAAAGTATGTTACGACACTGATTTCTCATTGCTTTTATTTTTTTTAAAAAAATGCCAACTATAGGTGAATCCATCTTTTTTTGTACTTTTATACGAAACATCAATTTTAGAATCTGTTCTAAAAGAGAAATGGTGTCATTTTAGATAGCTTAGCCTGGTGCCTTCTTTTATCTTTGACTAATTCAGTTTAATTCAATTAAAATAACTGAACTGAATTGGATCAATTTCCAAAATAAAATTAACCTGTGTAAGATTTTGTCTAATTTACATACACCTGAGTTCTCTTTCAATACAGCACACATTTTGGGGACTTTTTTATACCACTTTTTTGTTGTTCACTGGTCCTTTCTTGACATTTTCGATTAGTTCTAGCAGAATAATCTTACCTTTTTACTATGTTAAACAATTGTAGACTTCGTGGTATAAAGATATATCGCTCATTTCGAAGTATCCCAGACACAATTCTTTCAACAGCATATTCTGGATCTATAATGGGCAGCAAGTGAGACCACCTGACAGAATAAAACACCACCACTTTGAATTACATTTTTCTTGAATTTCATCTGTAATAATAGCAATTGAAGCTTAAAGCAATCATCAATATGCTTGGAACCAGCACCAACCAACTAATACTGTCTCCCTCTCTTTCTCAGTAACCCCAATATCTTCTCTTCCTCGTGCCCTTTTTCTTATGTGTCTATTTGTAAAACATATATGTTCACTTACTATTACAATAATACAACTTAAAATGTTTGGACTAATTTTTCATATTTTATCCTCAATTTGTCATATTACTTTAATCAGTTTTTCATATGCCTTCTCTATAAAAGGCTTTCAAGCAAGTTATAATTTATATAAATAATTCCCTCAGTTTAATTTTTCAACCTTTGTCAAAAATTGATTTTAGATCTGGTATTTTATCAATCCAGCAAATTCCTTCTATAATATTTTAAGGCATTTTTTGCCATTTGTGCACCTATGTACCTACTACCATCTATCCATATTTTCTCATTTGGCTTATTATACTGTTTTATCAGAATATGAACTCTTTATTTTCTTAGGACAACATTTTTTTATAGGTAGTTTTCACAATTCTAATGGAGTAATTTGCAAATACTCCATTAATAAGCATTCAGAGAAGCACATCTAACATTGCAAATGTGAGATTTCTTTTGTGGATTTAGTGTAAAATCTAGTGTAAAATATGTTGCTAAGAGTATAGAAACATCACTATAACAGGCATGGCTCAAGCATTTTATACATGTAAAGAATCATTTTACCAGATTTTTAGCAGGCTTTACCAAAACCAGATTTCACCAATAAAGGAGAATATTTCTTGTTCAGGGTTGAAATAGCAATAGCAATAGAGTTATATATCACCTCATAGTACTTTACAGCACTCTCTAAGCAGTTTACAGAATCAGCATATTGCCCTAACAATCTGGGTCCTCATTTTACCGATCTCCGAAGAATGGAAGGCTGAGTCAACCTTGAGCCAGTCAGGATAAAACTGGCAGTGGGCAGAGTTAGCCTGAAATATTGCATTCTAACCATTGTGCCACCACAGCTGAAAAGTCCTTGGTGATCTCTGAGCTTGGTTGTTTTCTACATACATTTCATTACTGAAGCTAGGTAACATTATCAGTGCTAGAAAGGAGTGGGGTTTGCTCTCCGTTTATATACCAGTGGCTTGCCCTGTCCGTGTTGGTGTGTGTGTGTGGGAGGATTGGGGTAGTCTTGGAGGTTTTTTTAGTTGGGCTGTTTACTGTTAGCTTGTCTGGCTGTTCCTTGATTAGGGTATTGTTTACATCTTGATTTTCTTGTGCTGAAAGATCTGGTAGGCTGAATAAAGTAGTTGTCAGCGTTTCAGAACTGACATAGAAAAGGGAAGAGAAGCCTGAACTTTTGCCTGCTAAATCCCTTTGAAGATTCAGTCTCCTCGGAGATGGGGAGAGGGGAGACATTCCTGTGACCTGACGAAGAAGAAATCAGGAAAGTGACTTGGAAGATAGCCAATGAGAAGCAGAGAATTGGGGATCGGAATGGGAGGGATTGGGGGGCAAAGGTCAGTACTGACCGCGAAAGAGTCAGGATCAGGTTGCTGTGCTCAAATAAAGAGAAAATTTCCTTAAAGATCGGCAGTTTGGAAGTTCATTTATTTTGAGATAGCATCGAAACCTGACAGTAGTGCAACTTGGAACAAAGGAAATCCTGATACCTTATGGACTTTGTCCTCTAATTCTGTTGATTTGTCCATTGAGCCAGTCACCATAATCATCCCTTTCTGCATGATTCACAATTGAACATGCAGTTTCTTTAACAAAGCATCTTTTCTTGTTGGCTTTCCTTTTGGGGAAAGTACAAGATGGCTGAAACAGAACCAGTACTGAATACTCCTCAGAGCACAGGACGTCATGACTAGAAAGAGTTTCTCCAAAAGAATGTACTTCCATGTATATGACTTCAACATACAACAGAAGTCTTCCAAATGTGTGGACTTCAACTATAGAAATATCAGAAATGGCTTCTGGTAGAGAAACTGGAAAAATTCATATACACAATTGCTACTAAGGTTGCAGAATGCTGTAGAAAGCAAGTTCTGCTATATTTAAACCTGTTATCACTATTTTTATTCAAACCTGTCATTATTTTATGTAATCATTTAAGGCCACACATATATTTATGAAATGCAAACAACTCACTTTGTTTCACAGCCTTCAAACATTCCAGTGTTCACTATATATGGACAGACAATTGTAGATTTAACACCATTCTTTTTCATTGCGAACATCTCTAAAGCTAGAGATTCAGCAAAACCCAGAACTGCAAATTTACTTGTACAGTAATCTGAAAAGTGAGAAAGAAATAGAATAGTATGTGCACGAAGCAGAATAGTTTTCCTATAAAAATATTTTGGATATCACACATAAGCATAACTAACTGAATAAAAATCAATGGCAATTGGCATCTTTTGTTTGTACCTTCAGAGGTCTATTTTCTATGTTTACAACATTGCTGCTAAAAAGAGGCTGGGAATTTTGAGGGTAAAGAAGGAAGTCCTTCCAGATGTGTGAAAATGGTAACTTTCTTAATTACTATGCATACATGTTATACTTAATAGCCACAGTAATTATTTGTTATTAGCTCGTCTCACGTTTATGATAAAATGCACTATACCTAAAACTATTTGAGGGGAACCCCTAAATGGTTCTTTCAAATATTATCATGAAATGTGAAAATGCAACTTTCTTAATTACTATGCATACATGTTATACTTAATAGCCACAGTAATTATTTGTTATTAGCTCGTCTCACGTTTATGATAAAATGCACTATACCTAAAACTATTGAGGGGAACCCCTAAATGGTTCTTTCAAATATTATCATGAAATGTGACAGAAGGAATAATTAAATAAATGGGCAGCCATCATATTCACTGTATTTAATTCAATTACTTGAAGTACATTGCCCTATCATTTTTTCAAAAATGACTAATACTTCTATAAATCTGATTACCTTTCTTTCATATTTCTTTCTTCTTTTTTTCCTACTACAGTCTTTTATCTCTTGTTCAAAGGAAACATGACTTGTAACAAAGGTTGCTAACTCTTTGGCCTACCTCAACTGTCAAATTAAGAGTTTTGCCATATACTAACCAGTCATTTTGTTGACACCATAACAACCAGCTGCACTTGAAATAGTCACCACATGTCCATGATTAGAAGCTACCATGGCTGGAACAAATGCTTTGACAGTCTATGAAGAAGACGTAAAAACAAATACATTTCAGCATATGAATATATAAAAAATATGTATTTTTTTAAAATTTAAAATTTTACTTCAAAAATGACCTAATTGGGTAGATACAACAATATTTCAGATTTTCTGAAAAGTCTTCCAGTCTTAGTTCAACTATCTGTTTCATTTTGGTCTCTTCTGGAATGTTAAAGCAATTTGAAGGTGACCAAGGATGGGTCTGTGTGTGGTATCAATCTCTTTGAAAGAGGGAAGGGTACATTCTCTCCTCAGGAGGTTACTACCAAATCCCTCTTTTTGGAATAATAATCATCCAGTCTCCAAACTTTCTTTTGTGGAAAATGTTGTGGAAAAGGTGATGGACTTTAGCTACAAAGAATATTGGAGAAAACAGATTATCTGGACTTGTTTCAGTTGGATTGAAATGCAGTATGGAGAAAGGGTTGGTTGTGCTTGTTGATAATATTTGTTGGGGCCAGGATGGAGTGGCACCTCCATTCTTGGGCACTTTGATCTCTCAGTGGCTTTCAATACCACTGACCATGTTATCTGGTATCCTTCTAGATTAGCTATGGTAGATGGAAGTGGGAGGAACTGACTTTTACTGGTTGACCTCCTTCCTCAGATATCAGTCTCATCTGTTGACAGAAAAACCCAGGCCTTCTCAAATGTGTATGCCTCATGATTATAACAAGTTTAAATAATAATAATCACAGTATCTGCAGGGCTATTGTTTATTGAAATAACATTTATGTAAATACTAAGTACTACATTAGAAGGCAATGTTAGATTTTGCTGTAGCCACTCTCCTAATATAATTATTTGGTTCCAGAGTAGATTTCTAATTTTATCAAGAAATGTTAGGCTGAAATACAATACATTCAGGAGAAATAAATGTTTATTCCACTATGTAAATAAATAATAATCATTTATGAGAGTGTACCATAGATTGAAAGTTTTATTTCTTTACAATTAACCCAGTTTAACATTGTCATCTGCATAATAAACATCATTGTTTAAAATTCTGCATATTTTACATTTCACTAGGGCTGTTATATTTAGCAATGGTTTTAGTTTTCAGTTAGTTTTGCTATTTGTCCATATTATGCATTGTATTGTATTGTATTGTATTGTATTGTATTGTATTGTATACTATACTATACTATACTATACTATACTATACTATACTATACTATACTATTCCATTTTATCTAGGGTATTTGATTAAAGTAATATCATTGCTGATTTTATAAATAAATATGTTAGTTTATTTTGCAAGAAATCTTCTCATCAGGACCAATGAAAAAATATGCAAGAGATTATAATACCCTTGTAAAATCTGAACCCTTGATAAATGCTAATATATCTAATCTAGCTCTATTTCAGAAGTTCAACAGTACTTTGCTGTTGAGTAGTCGAAAGTTGGAGCCAACTTCCAGTGGAGGTAGTGGATCAATCCTAGGTAAATGTGCTAGGTGATAAACACATGTCTATCATCTAACAAAAATAAAAATTAAATTAAATTTAAAAAAATAAATTAAAAACAAAATAAACCTCTGAAAGGGCAGATTCGATGGATCACTGGCTCTTTTCCTGCTATGCATTTCTACGTTATTGCTGTGATATGTTCAAATTTACTATTTCGTATATACAGCTAACCACAGCTATGATTCTTGTTTTGTTTTTTTTAATAGACCACTAGAGGGCATCAATAGCAAAAATGCAGACTTTAAAACTGCATGGACCTAATTGACGAAGTTGCCAGGAATCAAGACCGAAGTCAAAGGTAGAAACAAAGAAAAACAATATTTTTGAATATCTTTGCTATGGAGACAGAAGATTTTTTGTTGTTTCTTGAGAAAGTCTATACTTAGAGAAGCATGACTGAAAGGTTTTTAAAAACTTCTAGGGTTGAACCTGTGATTGCCAACAGCAATGGCTGATTGTGTGAATCTTCGTCAAAATCAACATCAATATTATCTGCTTAAACAATTGGTAGCATTCCAGATTTTGGGACTTTTTTCTTTCCAAAATTTGTTGAATGCTGGCTTACATCTCATATCTGCATGGCCAGTAATCAAGACAGTTAGATAATATCCTGTCCATTTTAATTTTGTTCGCCCAACTTGTTCCACTTGTTCGTTTCAACTTGTTCCACTAAAATAAAACTTGTCCAGATTTCTATCACGTTTACAATAATTATACTATTCTTTTATAGCAGCACAAAAGCCATAAATGAATACCAATACGGCCTACGTTAGAAGTGGGGAACTTTTTTCATTATTTTCAACTTCTCAAGTTGAGTGACAATAGTTGAGTAGAGAAGGGTTAAGAAGGGATGTTAAAAAAATGGAGAAACAAATTACTAAAAATATAATCTTTTGTTGTAGGTTGAAAATGGTAAGGGGTTTATTAATGCTAAGGGGCTCACTATATTGCTGCATCTTAGAGATCACCATATACCAGTAGTCCTTTTGTGAATGAACATGATCCCATCATAGTAGAATTACTGTTTTGAAATTATTGAATTGTCTTCTAAGAGAGCCTTTGTGCAATTCTAATAGCTTCTTCAGTAGGATAGAAAAGTATTATGTGGTGATAGAATTGATTGGGGCCTGTGGATAATGTTATGCATAGCTTTGAAATTGCTTGAGAAACAGGATTTCTAGTTATGATTTTCTTACAATCATGTTCATGTGGTCTCTCTTGCCCCTATCATCTTTCTTGGATTCTGTTTATTTGTTTGCTCTTTAGAAATTTGATCAGAAGCTAGTGAGAGAAGATATTCTACTATGAAATATTTCTCTTATTGGTCAGAAGATGATGAGAAAAGACAAAGGACTTTCCACAAGAGTTCTATCTGTAAGGCCATTTTTACTAATAAAAAAAAACACAATTCAAGTTAATATTGGATATACTTTCACAATTAAGCTGACTTTGTATAAAATATACAAAAGTATGAAGGCTATTGCTTAACGCACTGTAAGCCGCCCTGAGTCTCCGGAGAAGGGCGGCATATAAATCAAATTAAAAAAAAATTAATCAAAAATTTGTTACCCAAAAGTGTGCCATTGTGTTCACTTGAATACTCTTCTCTAGAAGCATATCTGGGGTGTCTAAAAACATCTTTCCTGTTATGATGCCAGCATTATTAATCAGGATACCAACATCACCAACTTCTTTTTTCACCTAGAAAAGCCACAGAGCAGGCCCAAGTTAAAACAATTGTAGTAAATTTACATAATTCAAAAGAAAGCCAACTTACCAAAATCTTCATATAGATATTTTCATACATTTACATTAAACATGCCATCAGACATTACAGTACATGAAATGGAGGTGGCTTATTTCATCTCTCAATTATAGACACACTTCACTGTTCAGCAAAGTAGACTTTAAAGTTTCAAAGAAGGGAAAAAACACTGGGGCAAATTGGAAAATAAAACATTTTTTCTCTAATTTAAATTTTACCTTCATTCCCTTCTATTCAATTTGTCATTCAGCATTAAGGATCTGTGGTAAAGGTACGGGCTTCACTGCTGTTTAAAAAGACATCACAAGAATTGGGATGCATGTGTTTTATCAGCAGGAGATCCAAAATGCTATCCTAGAAGTCTCCATAAAAAAGACTGTTATCTGAATAAATCAAAGACTACAGGTGGTATTAAAATGACATAATGGTGTCATATACATGCAAGTAGTTTTGAATACCATGTACAGTCCTCAGATATTTCTGAATTTCAGCCAGCAGAATATTTCACTATTGGTCATGTTGGCTAGAGCTACTGGGGATTCTGCTTCAATATCTGGAGGTTTACATACTATGCACTCTTACAACTGGGCTCACACATGTGAACCTATAATATGATTTTGATTTTATATGTTGTATAAAACCAGACACAATGCTTAATAAATAAACTATAGTTTAAACTATAAACTATAGTTTAATACAATATATGATTCCAGTGATTTACAGATGCCATGTTAGCAGATGGAACAAATGTTTGATGGCTAAATAAACTATTTTATGTTGTACAAAATCTATAACTATATAATTACCTGGCCTGCCACTTGATAGACTTCTTGCCTTTTGCTGCAATCACAAATGTAGTCATGTACTCTCATAGCCCCAATATTACGTGCTAATCTAGTTGTTTCTTTGATTCCTTCCAGATTAATATCCCAAAGAACTAAAGTAGCTCCAAGTCGAGCAAATTTTAAAGCCATCAGTCTTCCCATTCCACTTCCAGCTCCAGTTATAAGCACTATTTCACCAGCAACATTTTTCTTCCGTGCATAGATAAACGATAAGAAAAACTCCATCAGATAATATATACACAGCAAAATGATTTTCAGCGTTTCCAGGAAGAAATTCATTTTGGAGACCACGTTTCAGATTACCTGTTGAATAAATTCAAAGATCAGTTAAATCTATTGCCAAACATTTATGTCTTGTTTTCACCTCCTTTCAGCTGGGATCCTTTCCTTCTTCCTTGGGATCCTCCAGAGAAGAAGATCAAAACTGATAGGGTTTATCAGTGAGAAAGAGGCATGTGTATATCATTCCTGTGGGCAGTGTAAATGATGAAACTAAAGCAACAAAGTGCTCTAAATAATTTTTGGCTGTTTTAACATTTTCAAAATCTTGTAATTATGCATAGAGAAATTAAATAATAAGCAACATTTTTATGTTCTTATAAATTTATTACAGATAATTCAAAATTCAATATGATTTCATGGTATAGTTATTATATGTACCCTGGGGTACCCAAGGGTACATATAAGATTGCTTATTTGGGTTCAAATAAGCAATCAAATCATACTAGGAAACAATATAAATCGTAAGGTCCTCAATGGAAGGCAGGTTCGTAGCAATTGTTTTTTCTGCAATTCTAATTATCCTCTGAAGTCTGTGTCTGTTTTATTGGGTAGCAGAAGCAAACCAGACCTATGGATTAGGCAAAAAGTTTAACATTGCCTCTGCTAATTTCGACAAGATACGGCCTGACCGTAAGTTGTGCAAAAACGAGGAAATTCCCTCTCACTAAAAAGGATCTGCTCTTGTATTTACCAGCCATTTCAGGCGACGTAACTCTGAACTTTGGATTAGAGGAAGCAGTGACATAAAGAGCAACAGGGCGAACCCGCAGATAGCAGCCCCTTCTATTCCTCCACCCCCTCCCCACCCCACCCCACCCGTGTGTGTGTGTGTGTGTGTGTGTGTGTGAGAGAGAGAGAGAGAGAGAGAGAGAGAGCGTACACACACGAAGTGAAATGTAAACTACAGTATTCTTAAGCGTCTCTCGGGTCCTAGCCCTGAGCGTGAAACAACCACAATCCTCAGCGCCCCAGAGCTACGCCGTAAAAACTCTCCAGCTAGTTATCGGCTCCGCGCACCGACTTACTCAGTTGTTTTACTCCTCCCGGCTCCAGACTTCGCTGAAGAAGCAAAGGTTACGTCCGTACTGCGAACAAGAAGGCCACCACGAAGTAGTATCGCCAGCGCAGATTCTCTAGATGGCAGTCCAGAAGAAGACACGCCCATCCACCCCAAAGGCGGTCCTACCACCTGCTTTACGTGCGGACGACTGCCTTAGTCTAATTGTAGCCTAATTCTGCAGTTCCAGGATCGAGTTTATCTTCCCCATTCTTCAGCCAATACAGTGGAGAGGAGAAGTTGACTGAAGGGGGTGGGTTCTCCACAGGAGACGGGAAATTCCCTTCCGTCGCTCAGCCCAGTTTATCCCAACTTCGCTGCCGAGAGGCGGGGGGGCTAGAAAACTGAGCAGCTCCTTGGCAGCGCGTCCCTTAAAGAGAGGGAAAAAATGCTCGGCGCCACTTGTGCCTCTCATTCCGCTTGGCACAGCTGAAATCCCTGTTGCAATTGGATCCCTGCCAACTCTGGCCGCAGTAATTGTTCTTTCCGGTCTTGAGCGATCCAGGGCGTAATAACTCTTCACTTGAAAGCGGTACATTCTGCGCCAACCAGGTGAATGTGCTTGAGGCGGTTTACTCGGAGCAGCCACTTTCTCATTGTTGGGCGCGAGGTCCGGTGGAGGAAGGACGGTCGTCTCAGGAAACAGAAAAGACACGCTAAGCATAGGCAGTGAAAAAGAGGAATGTGGTCAGGGAAAGACAGATTCAGACCAAGTTTAGCCTGTGAAACTAATCCCCACTATCCCATCCCCAAAATTTGAAAGCATGGGGTTTACCTCATTATAACAGCCATACAATCTAGCAGTTTACGATCATTTGGAATTCAGTTAGCCCAATTAAACTCTTCCCAAATTTGAATTATTAAACTGAATTATGTGCCATGTGATGGAAGTTAGTGAAAATGCAGAATGAGTTTCAAAAAAAGTCAAGTGTTGTAAATCATGAAGATAGACATGAAGATACATATGAAGATGAAGATTGATTTTAGGTGATGCAACTCAACAATTAAGCCAAATAATACCAAAAGATTAGAGAAGGTGGAACTGTCAAAATGTGAAGTTTCAGTTTATTATCAGCGAGCTTGACATTATTGCCATGGTAGAATAATACTATTTACATAATCTAATCACTTGTGCAATTTCTTTTTGGAGCTTGTGAAATAGAAGTATTGTTTTCTCCAAGCACCAGAAAGCTTCTTATTGCTGTATGCTATGTAATATTTGTTTTAGCAACTGTACACAACATTTTTTCTAATGCACTAAATATACAACAAGGTTCATAACTAATTAGCAAATGTACATGTTAAGCATCTCTGTAAAAAGCTGCACGATTAATTAAAGCAGGGTAACATCTTGGAAAATGAGTAAAAAGGTTTTAGGGAAGGGAACTTAAACCACTCTCTTGGGAAGGATAATCCCCTCTCTTTGGGGAAGTTAAAAAGAGAAATCCTTATTAAAATGTGGATGACAGTCACACATATCTTAGACAAATTTCCATTCAGTACTTTTTTCATATTACATATTCGTACCTCTTAAGAAAATGTAATCAATAATCCTGAGCATCTGCCTACTATCCAAAGGTCAAATCAAATAAATAATCTGGTGTAAAGGTGGAGCACTAGCAATTTTCAAGCTAGAAATAATTATTATGAAAACATGAAACAAATATTTCAAACTCTGATTGCCAAAAAAAAAAAAAAAGAATTCCTAAAAGTTATTTTATTCGAAATGTCAAGAGGAAAGGGTTTAGGACTCAAAACGAGCTGACATTGACACACAAACACATACTCAAGGCTTCTTCTTGACTTCTTTAGTAGGTAACTTTCCATGTATACATAGAATATGTATTAAATTTCAATAATACATGCAATAAGCAATAATACATACATTGTGACATACCTATGTATCCATTAAATAGTTATGGAACATGGAGTAGTATTTCTAGAGAGTTAAGACATGTTGCTCTAAGAATTGATGTAAATTCTTATACCTAATGCAATTCATTTTATATAATATAAAGGTTAGAACATTGGTTATAATGTTATATGTAGAAATCAGGGTCCAGGCATTTGCTCTGTGCGAAGATGTTTCTCTCCTTCGCAGCATTTATTGCTTTTTATACAGCTTTATACAAGCAGAAAAGGCAAACCAGCAACAGTGTTTTAACTGATACTATTCGCCCCCCCCTTAAAATGCCATCCTCCTGCATCCTCCTGATGGTGAAGGCAAGGTGAGATAATGCAAATCAGAGCCAGAATGAGATCATACAAGCAGGCAAGATACATAGTGTCTGAGGCAAGGCAGTGTGCTGCACTCAGCCTACACCATGACCTTTTACCTCTACAGTTATAAATAATGTTATAATATAAATGTTATAATATAAATATAAATATAATGTAATAATATAAAGGTTAGAATCTTGTCTAACTCTGTCCAATTTACAAGGTTCAACTATTGTACTATTCCCAACTGATGGCCATTCATCCTGTTTAAATACTCCCAGTGAAAGAAAGTCCATCACTTTCTGACACATGATTTTATATTATTGAAAAGTTCTTATCTTTTGGGGTTTTTTTTCTGATGGCTAATTGAAATATTTCTCTAAACCCACAGTTTCTTGTTCTGATTTTGAATAGTTCTGAACTATTCTGCCCCGGCTCCTACATAAGAACCTTTGAGATATTTGAAGACAAGTATACATTTCAGCAGTCTTTCCCCCAATCATTTAGTGACTTGAACTGTTCTTCTTTATCCTAGCATTTCCCATGTGCAGGGTCTGCTTTTTGGATTAACAAATGTCATTTCATGTGACCAATGCAGCAACCAGAATCAAATAGTTGATCCGTTAGTTGTGATAAAAATTTACTGACAAGCCTGTTGCTCAAGCCTGACATTGGTTGGCCTGTATTCAGCATGGCACCATCCTTGTGAGAGGGCAGTTTCCAGCAGAACCAACAAGGAGAAATAAGACTCCCCACCACTCAATCAAAATTGTTTCTCATAAGATTTTCTTCCAGGGCCCTTGTCCAATTTGCTTTCCCCTGGACATACTCCACTTTGTCAATGTCCTTCCTAAAATGTGCCCAGAGAAGGCCATAATATTTTAGTTGCAGTTTGATTATTGTAGAATTGAGAAGAATAATGTGTTATCTTGACTTTGATGTTGTACATATGTTTATGTAGCCTTGGACTGTATTTTTTTTTTTTTTATTACTTCAACATCCTGTTCACACATGTTCAGGTTGTGATCCGCTAAATCCTTTTCACAGTAGTCACCATTTCTGTATGTTGAAATTCATCTTAATGAATTTTGCCTAATGTTCCTATTGTCAGGATCCTTCTGTGCTTTAAGATTCTCTAAGGCATTTGCTATGCCTTGCTATTTTTATGTCACCTGAAAATTTGATAATATTTTTAAAATCTTTTTCTAAGCCATTTATAAGTATGTTGAATAACTGAGGGCTAGGAAAAGAGCCCCACACTATTTATTTATATCCTGCCTTTATTATTCTAAATAACTCAAGGCAGCGAATATACACTTCTACGGTATTTTTCCCAATAGCAACAACCCTGTGAGATGAGTTGGTGAGAGAGAGTGACTTGCCCAAAGTCCCTTGACTGGCTTTCATACCTAAAGTGGGACTAGAACTCACAGTCTCCTGCTTCTATCCTGGTGCATTAACTATAGACCAAACTGGATCTATATTTCTACTATATTCTCTGATGTATACTCATTGATGTAATTGTTCACCCAGATACATATTCATCTAATGGGAGCATCAACTACTATTTCCTAAGATATTAGCCCTCCCCCTATCTTTGTGTTATAACATCAAATCACAATTTCCAACCCCACATTCAAATGATTTATAAATATGTTGAACAGCATAGGACCTACCAAAAAGGTCTGAATTTATTTATGTTTTTTCCTGTATTATTATCAGTTTTCTGCATCTATTAAGATTTCTCATTTTAAGTCTTTGTAAATCAAGACATTCACCATTTGTGACCAATTCTTATTATTAGCTGAACTGTGCACATCTGTTAGCATAGCATACAGTTTTCTATTAAATGAGTACAAATTCTATATTCATGTTACTTGAATGGATCATGATATAGCCTTTCTTCCTACTAAGCTACAAAAAGCCAAATGATGGCTTTGTAGCAGTGTAATTTAGAAGCTAGAGAAGAGAATAAAAATCAAAGCTTATCAGAAAAGCATGAGCGTTATTATATCCTGAAATTTTATCTCAGAAAAATATTTTTGTGAGGTTCTGAAAATGCTGTCCTAAATCCAATTTAGTAAATTAAAACTTTCATTTATCTGCACTAAATATTGTAATAAAACCTTAATAAATCAAGATTCTTTGTGCTCCAATTCCCAGCAAGCAGGGCTTTTTGCATACTGTTGTAGCAGTATTCAGAAAACACTTTCCGGAAAGGTAAGTCTGTCCTTGCATAATTTTGCCCTGTTTCTAGCTTCTTGATTATGAATATTCAGAAATAGCTGGCATGAAACAATATTGAGCTTGATTAATAAAACTCTAGGCAAACCAGTTTCTCGGCAGCTGTTCTCCAAAAGAAGCCTTACATGTGAAAAGAAAATTTGGAAACTGATGCTAACCAACATAATAGCAATAGCACTTAGACTTATATACCACTTCACACTACTTTACAACCCTCTCTCAGAGGTTTATAATGAATTCGTATTGTTTCTGAATTTCTTCAAATAGGATCCCAGATAAAATTATTTTTGTCGGGCAGAATCTGTTATCAGTTTAGATCACAAGTCTGTTTTTTTAAAAAAAGCATGTTCAACTAGATCAGAGTTTCTCAACCTTGACAATTTTAAGACATGTGGACTTCAACTCCCAGAATTCCCCAATCAGCCTGGCTGGCTGAAGAATTCTGGGAATTGAAGTCCACACATCTTAAAGCTACCAAGGTTGAGAACCACTGAACTAGAACTACAGTATTCTTGGGGGGTTTTCTGTGTAAGGCGGTTTCAAATACTCATTTGAATGTATTGGTAGTACTTGCTTTACTATATTTTGAAAGTATTAGGATTAGACTTTCAGCATGTGTCTGGTGTAAGTTTTCATTGATAGCCATTAAAGTCCTGTAATCTTTTTCTTAATTATTAGAGAAGCCATGGTACCACAGAATGCTGTATTGCAGCCTAATTCTGCCGACTGCCAGCAGTTCGATTCTGACGTGCTCAAGGTTTATTCAGCCTTCCATCCTTCCGAG